CATACCTAAACCCAAACACAGCACTCAATACTCGCAAATCAATGGTATGTCTGGAGTGAGACTTACGATGCAATGCCGAGAGACGAGTCAAGTCGGAAGGGGAGACGCGACCGCTTTCTAACAGTTTCATTGCAATCAAATCGGCCGAACTGTTGGCTGAAGTGCACGCTATGATCCGACTCTCAGGGATCTTATCGAACACCTGAAGAATGGTCTCAACGATTGTAACCGTCTTTCCAGTGCCGGGCGGACCAAAGATTATGTAAGGCGTGGGTCGGGAGTGGCCCTTAAGGGCGCCGATGACCGCCAGCTTCTGTTGCAAATTCAAGGACTTATTGAACCAATCAATCGATTCAAACGGAATCCTCTTATAGGGCTGTTTGAGAATCACTTTGTTGGGGAACAACACCTGTCCGACCAAATGGGGCGACAGATCAATGGCGTGATGACAGCGCCTGAATGTTGTGCTGAATAACAAATACACTTTAATACGTAACCAATGAGCTAAGGATATGATCCAATACCGGCTGCAATAAAAAATCACTTTATAAGTGCCGCCATCGAAGTCCCGGTGAAAGTCCTCGTGAAAGCGCACAAGAATCTCGTCCTTTTTGATCTGAAAATCACATTTAAACATATTTACAAAACAAAGCCAAATCAATAGACAATGAGATAATCACGTCATGAATGAATGCTTCGTAACCGATAGTCTTTTTCTCGGCACTGGCGAGAGATTTATCGTCAAATGCAATCAATTTATCACTAATTATAAGACTGGGTCTGCCATCTGCCAGTCCCGGCACATTCAGGGCCAGGAATCGACCGGTGCGTCTGAACTGAACGCCATTCATGTCGTAACTCTGGAGATTGAGTACGTTTTGACACTCCTCTAAGTACATCAAAGCGTGAAATTTGAGTCTATAGTTGTCTTGAGTGAGCGGTTCATTGAGTTCCGGTGCGACTGAGTCGACGGACCAATTGTTTTCGATGGCTCTCCACAATGCTTCGGGAACCTTATAGTTCTGGAGTTTGTCGAAGATATGCTTACAGGGATTCCATACCCTCTCGCCGGGCATTATCCATGTGTCGGCGCCGAATAAACGGCGTCGACCGCGCCTACTGTCTGTGAATTGGTTGATGTTCTCAACGACTGTCACGGATACGAAACGTCCGATTTTGAAGCCATTGAATGCGAACACAAGGAGTTCCGTATAATCGCCGCTATATCTGAATAATTCATACAAATATTAACTCAACAATTGTTTCATTTCTCAAGACTTACTTCGCATCGCATATCAGTTTCACATAAGACTCCGATTTGGCCGGTATTTCAAATGGCGGTTCACTCGGCTTACCGTAAGACTCCATGAATGAGTGAAACCCTACCTGTTGTTCCCCTTCTTCGGCCTCACACGACACCAAAG